CCCAAATCAAAATAAAAATTAAAAAAATATATATTAAATTTAGCAATAAAAATAAAAAAAAAAAAGAAAGAAAACCTTTATCCTAATATTTCCCCCTTTGGAAACTTGAACTTCTGGATTTGCCAGGGAACGTAATACAGGAGAAAGAGCTTGGTCCTGGGAATCAAAGACCTGAGTTCTGGTCCTGGCTCCACAGCTAACTGGCTGGTTAATTTGAGAAAGCCTCTACCTATCCTTTCTGTGCTCAGCCTCTGGCCTGTGGGAGGAAAATTCATTGAGCTTGAACATTAAAAAAAAAAAAGTTTTTCCAGTTTTCACTTTAGTGGTTTATGATATCAGCAGTGTTTTGTTAAAAGAGTTGGAAATTATAGGTAATTCCAGGAAAATCATGGTGAAACTGCTCATGGAATCATTGGATTAACAAAGCAACGTTGGCAATTATAAATGGCAAAATGGACTGGCCTACTGGATACTTAGTCTGAAGGGCAAGTCTGTAGTAGAGGGTGAATCAGTTCTTTCTCTCAGCTCAAAACCCCCAGTCTGTGGGTTGAAAGCATTCGTTTATGATCCCTGTGGGGTGGGATTCTTCTGCCTTTGAGCAGGATCTCCAGCTTGCCTTTATCAACTGTGATTCCCAAGCCTTCCTGTGGCACTGTGGCCCCTTCTGACCTGGTACTGGGGAAGAATCCTGGGTCCAAAAACCAACCAAACCCACTGTTATTGATTCCAATTCATAGCAACCCTATAGGACAGAGTAGAAATGTTCTGAAGGGTTTTTCCCAAGGCTATAATGTTTGATTGTTGTTTTTTTTCTTTTAATGGTTTGGGTGAAAGTTTACAGAGACCTGAGTTAAATTAGTAATCTTTAAGGAAGCAGACTGCTACATCTTTCTCCCTTGGAGTGACTACTAGATTTGAAGTGTTGATCTTTTGGCTAGAAGCTGAGCACTTAACTATTGGGCCACCAGGACTCCTTTAGTGGACATAAAATGGTTAAACAGGAGTATCTGTTGAGATGAAGCAGCCAGTAGGGAGGAAAATTCAGAGGAGTTACACAAAGACTATCTTGGGTTCTCTGTTGTTACCTGTTTGTGGAAGAATGCATTATCAATTTAGATCCCAATCAGGAATGACTTCCTACCAAGGGCATTCTTACTGTCACTCCCTTCACTGTAACATGATAAAGAACCCCACATCCAAGACAGGATAGAGAGCACTCAACTTAGAAGGAGACAGGCAGAGACACTGCACCAAGAAAATAAGAGAGAAAAGAGTCATTCTTGGTTAATAACTATGGTGAGCAGTTAGTATGTTACTGGGAACCAGTGATAAGACATCCCAAAAGGATGGTTTGGAATTTGGAAAAGAGTACTAGTAGAAGTTCTTTTCCAGTACTTCTCACAGTTGCAATGAAATAATTATGACTCATTTCTTAATGACTAGAATTGCAGCTCCATGAGAATAGAGACCTTCTCTGTCTTGTGCAGCTTCACTATTGTATATCCAGCATATAACATATGACTTTGTATATTGAAGGTACTTTTCACGTACTTGATGAAAAATGGAAAGAGGGAATTCTGACATAGGATGAAGAATTCAGAGATAGGATGGAGCCCATCATCCATCCTCTAGAGTTGGTTATAAATAATTGTGGTTACATTAATTATACAGCAATCATTATATAATTTTCATTCCAAACTTCCTGTTGTTCTGGTTTCCAGATGCTCCTGCTACCCATCCCTGGGCATCCTACTTTACTTCACCATGGAGACTATAACTTGTAATGGATCAGCAAACTCCTTGCCTATCTTCTACCTTATGGGTATCCCCTCTCTGCCAAAATCCCTCTTCCTTCCTATCTTCTTTATCTTTTTCTTCCTCTACCTGCTCATCCTAGTGGGTAATGCCCTGATCTTGGTGGCCGTGGTGGCAGAGCCCAGTCTCCACAGGCCCATGTACTTCTTCCTAATTAACCTCTCCACCCTGGACATCCTTTTCACCACAATCACTGTGCCCAAGATGTTGTCCCTGCTCCTACTTGGGGATCGCTTCCTCAGCTTTCCAGCCTGCTTCCTGCAGATGTACCTTTTCCACAGTTTCTCCTGCTCAGAAGCCTTCATCCTAGTGGTCATGGCCTATGACCGCTTTGTGGCTATCTGCCACCCACTGCACTACCCTGTTCACATGACCCCACAGACCAATGCTGCACTGGCAGCCAGTGCCTGGTTCACTGCCTTCCTCCTTCCCATCCTGGCCGTTGTACAGACCTCCCAGATGGCTTTTGACAACATTGCTCACATCTACCACTGCTTTTGCGACCACCTGGCTGTGGTCCAGGCCTCCTGCTCTGATACCACCCCACAGACATTCATGGGCTTCTGCATCGCCATGGCAGTGTCTTTCCTTCCCCTTCTCCTGGTGCTTCTCTCTTATGCCCGCATCCTGGCCTCAGTGCTTCGCATCAACTCCCGAGAAGGACGCTCAAAAGCCTTCTCCACTTGCAGCTCCCACCTCCTGGTTGTCGGTACGTACTACACATCCATTGCCATAGCCTATGTGTCCTACAGGGCTGACCTGCCCCTTGACTTCCACATCATGGGCAATGTGGTATATGCTATTCTTACACCTGTGCTCAACCCAATCATCTACACCCTAAGGAACAAGGATGTCAAAGCAGCCATCACCAAAATGGCATGTCCCCAGGACCCAAAGCATGCTGGGTAACCTTGATTCATAGGTGTAACTTGATCTACTCACAGACACCAATAACAATGGAAGGAAATGTGGAAAATCCAGGTAACTAAGTAGCTACATTTCTATTCATTCAAAATAATTTTGATTCTCAGAAATTCCAAATATTTGATTAGCAAGAAATTCATCTTTTCCCCTTAGATCTCTTTTCAATACTTTTGAAAATCTCCAGGATTGCTGACACATGGGATTGAGTCTGTCTTGCCATTTTTGCTGCTTGCTTGGTGGAACAGCAGCTTAGAAACATCCCTCAAGGAAAAGTCTGAAAGTGCTACCATCTCAGTCCTTATTGACTGAAAATTCACTGCCCCTTGCCAACATTTCAATACTACTCACTCAAGGAATTTTTCTTTGCCCCAGACCCTCACACAGTCATAACAGTATACCCTCCCTTAGCTTATGCTCAGGCAAAGGGTGTCCTTTAGCAAACCTGTCTGGTGCCCAAAGCATTACAGCTCTTTTAATTCTCAGCCACATCATGGTTTTCTCATCCTCATCAGTAGTGTGCTGCTCACAGGGCCACACTCTTTTTCAAAAAGTAGTCCTAGGTATTTCTCAAATTTCTGACCTTAGTGACAAGCCCAGGCTGCTAGCTCCCTTCCCCTATGGCAAGTTTCCTCTTGAAGTACTGTCAGGTTTGTCCAGCCAGGGACATGTAGAACAGTAAAAAGTGTTTGGAGGAACCCAGGTGACGTATATCTTCATCTCTGCCTCTTCACAGATATTTCCATTCCAATTTCTAGGGTCCCAGTTACTGCCAACTAAAAGCACTAACTTTATCCCTTTCATGACGGAATTATTTTCTGCATTGATTTGTTGTTGTTGTTGTTGTTGTTGATATGATGCTTTTCGTAACAGAAGGCATGCTGAAAGCAAGAAAAAATACGGATTTTGGTACAATTATATGGGATACATATGTCCCAAGTGGACTTGGTGGTAGAATAGGTGGGATGAGGCTTATTCTTTCAGGTTCACACAATTATGCAGGTCTCTGCCAAGTGGCAGCATGTGTTGCTACTGGGATAGGAGCTTTCCAATAAACCTGAGAGGCTGAAAATGCTGGTGGGCTATATAGGTCCCACAAGTCACAAAACCATCTTTCCATTGTATAAAACCCAATGTAGCTGAGAATTCAATTAATGATACAGTTCAACAAAAGAGCTTATTTGTTGCTGGACTCAGCTTTTAGCAATCCCAGAGATCTTGCTACAGTCAGAAAGGGCTTCTTGAAGTAGAGTTAAAGGAAGTCTCTGAGATTGGAACTCATGTTCTTCCATCTAAATCTCATTTATTCTACAGTATTTCTATTCCTCAATCCCTTGAAATAAAAGTCTAGCTCTCAGTGGGACCACAATCCTTAAGGTCTAAAGTAGATAACTTATTAAGTTGCCCTGCCCTGGATTTCCATGAGCTGTTAGAATTTAACCTAAGAATATGGAGTGGAATTTTTCTGTACTCTCTATCCCATTACCACCAAATAAACAACTCCAAAAGCACACCATGTTACTAATGAAGCTCTGTTTTGTGCAACCACACTTCTGGTATCCATTTCAGTTTCAGGGCTTCAGTTTGCCATATCCCTGGATCAGCCTCAGGATATCCTCTCATCTTCAGTTACCCTTCTAGGTGGAACAGTGGATTAATCACATGAAGAGTGAATTGTAGTGACATGGAATCTCAGGCTAGTTCACCCCTCACTCCTATTTTCCAATCTCTTACATATTCTGGTCCTCCTAAACCCTTATCGTAATCAGGGCTTCAAAATGATTCAAACCAGCTCAATCATGGGCAACAAAGTGAAAACAGGACAGATCAGAAATTGCAAAATGTGGGTTCTGGAATGATACCAAGGAGCTCTGGTGGCACAGTGGTTAAGGTTGGCTGCCAACCAAAAGTCCAAAAGTTTGAACTCAATAGCCATAGATCTGTAAAAATTTACATCCTTGGAAACCCTGTGAGACAGTTCTGTTCTGTCCTATAGGGTAAATTTGAGTTAGAATCAACTTGAAGGCAGTGGGTTTGGGTTTTGTTTTTTTTTTTGGTTTGTTTTTTTTCTGATATAGGAAAAATTACAGGTTGAAACCTTGGAATCAGAGACTAGGAAGATGCTAGTAAGACCTCCCAGGAGCCTGATTCGGGATATTGGATTATTGCCAGGACTGTGGAGAGTGACACACAATCAAAGTGGCACGGTTGGCTGCCATGTCTGAGCAGGTACCACTGTTTTCTACTCTGCCAGGCAAGAGATCTGGCTGCTATGCAACATGCATGCCTCCCTTGTTTTCTAAGAGGGAAGCTAAGTTTCTAGCAGGGTGTTAATTTTCCTGTTTCAGTTATCGTTCCAGGCATCACATTTTGCAAATTCTGGTCCATTCTGGTTTCACTTTATTGGCCATGACTAAACCAGGAAGAACTGGTTTGAAGCCCTGATCATAAATAGAATGAAATAATAACAACAATAATAATGTTTTTCATCTGAAGCCTCACCTGCTAATTGGTACAGTTCCTCAGTATTTCTTAATTAAAAAAAAAAAATCATAAGACTGGTTCAGATCATAGATCATAGCTCACTGAGTAGCTGAGGGTTGGCCACCCTTTTGTCAGTTGCCCACCCAGAGGAAGAAGTAAAGAGTTCAATCTATGGGTTAACTAAAACCAACTAGTTGATGCTGACTCATAGGGACTCTGAAGGACAGAGTAGAACTATAAATCTTTATGTAAGCAGACTGCCTCATCTTTCCCCCATGGAGCAGCTGTTGGGTTCAAACTCCTACCTTTTGGTTAGTAGCAAAATGCCTTAACCAGTGGGCCATGAGAGCTTCTGTGATTTAACAGCCACACCTAAAAATCTGTGGCTGCAAGTGGAGCAGCCTTAAAAGGAAAAATGGGAGACCAGGAATTTTGAAGCCTGGTATACTTCCAAACCAAACAAAGGTCACTGCTGTTGAGTCAAATCCAATTCATAGTGACTCCCATTGGGTTTTCAAGGCTGTAAACCTTTACAAAAGCAGACCACCCCATCTTTCTTCTATGGAGTGGCCAGTGGGTTCAGACCACTGACCTTTTGGTTATCAGCCAAATGCCTTAACCATTACACCATCAAAGCTCCTGGAACACTTAGAGGGGTCATTTCTCCTGTGTGAACCTCAGTTTCTCTATCTGTAAAATCTTTCAAGTATTTGTTGTGAAGATTGAGTAAGATTGGTTAATTTCTTCTCTTAAATATCTTTGGAAAGCATCTGCTCCTTTCCATTCCTACTTCCCCATGCTGTAGATGTCATTACCTTCTCTCTCCTGGATGAGACTGGTCTTTCTGCCTGTGTGTCCACTCTCCAATCCATTTTTCATAAAGTGGCCATAGTGGACTTGGGCTTTCTGACATTTGAATCTGGTCATATCACTGTCCTTAACATAACTTAACCTGGGCCAAGCTATCTCTTTGGTCTCAAGTCTTGCCATTGCCTCCCTCATGGCAGTTCTGAACTTTCAGTTTCTCAAACGAACCAAGTTCTCTTTCTCACCAAGAATTCACTGTTCTCATTCCTGATGCATTCTTCCTTCTTCTCCATTTCACCTACTTAAGTTTGAGGCCCCCCCTTCTTCCGGGGACCTGCCCTGGCCTCAACCTGAAATGTGCCCCCATAGTACCTTTTTCTTGGACCTTCAAAGAGAGGTCAGAACACATTATATTTATTAGTCTGTCCAAGCTCCTTGCTTGTTTTATTTATTTTTCTTTTTCTTCCTAGTCCCCCAGTTCCCATGCCAGTACCCTCCCCCACTTTAGCACTCATTCTAATGTGTTGAATGTATATCCGTAAATATAAGTGTACCCTTATGAAAAATATATAGCATTTTTTGTGTGCTTTTTTTAATTTAAGTAAAAGGATTATGTTACATGTCGTATTTTATTTCTTACTTTGTTCATGCAATTCTTTTTTGTTGTTGTTTTAATCTAACTATAATTGTGTTTGTACATCTAGTTTCACTTGTTTCAACTGATAACTTAAATTTCCATAGTGGGATTTCATCACATTTTATTTTTCTGTTCTCCTGTTAGAGGACATTTAAATTGCCTCCAATTTCTTTCTAGCACAATATCTTGATGAAGGACCTTGTGCCTATTCCTTCATGAACCCATTGAGGATTTTCCCTGGAATATATACAAAGGAGTAAAATAGATTTGTCATGTTGTTTTTGTTAGGTGTCATAGTGTCAGTTCCGACTCATAGTAACCTATGTACAACAGAACAAAACACTCCCTGGTCCGGCACCATCCTCACAATCATTGCTATGTTATTGCTGCAGCCAATGTGTCAATCCATCTCATTAAGGGTCTTCCTTTTTTCATTGACCCTCTTCCTTACTAAGCATGATGTCCTTCTCCAAGGACTGCTCCCTCCTTATCACATGTCCAAAGTACGTAACACAAAGTCTTGCCATCCTCTAGGGATGCATTCTGGCTGTACTTCTTCCAAAATATATCTTCATTTTTGTCAGTCTATGGTACAGTCGTCCCTCAGTATCCTCGGGGGACTGGTTCCAGGACCCCTCAAAAAAAAAAAAAAAAAAAAAAAAAAATTGCATTGACTCAAGTCCAATTCGTATTGACCCACTTTGGGTTTCCGAGGCAGTAAATCTCTATGAAAGTAGATTGCCCAGTCTTCCTTCCATGCAGTGCTGGTGGGTTTGAACTGCCAACCTTCTGGCTAGCTGTCAAATGCATTTGGCACTACACCACCAGAGCTCCTTTCCTAGGAATACCAAAATCCACGGATGCTCAAGTCTCATATAAAATTGTGCAGAATTTCCAGGTAACCATGCACATCCTCTTGCATACTTTCAGTCATCTTTAAATTACTTTAAATGCCTAATACAATATTAATACTATATAAATAGCAATTTATGCTCCCTCTTAGCCTTAGAGGGATTGTTCTGACCACTAATTGGCTCCCCCAACCCCCACTGAACATTTT